TAGAATGATATGTCCATGTTGTTTGTAATATGTGTAGACATTCTTCTTTTTGCAATGAGAGGATATATGTCCATTTCCTTTGCATTCATAGCATCGAGTTTTAGAAGGGTCATTTCCACCAAATTTCTTATTCCTTCGTGCAAGAAAGACCTCCTTGAATCAGGATGTTTCCCTTCTATGTTTGCAGTAGTTAGGAGTCTAGTTTCTTTCCTCAACAATTCTCCCATTACAGAGTCTAAGTCTGGAAGAGTTCCTCTACTCAAAATATTTGACCTGATTATTTCATACTTAGGTCTCAGCCTCAAGGAGAAGTTGGTTAACTTTCCTATTTTCAAAATGTTTTTGAAAATACTTGACACATTCAACGGGATCAGAGGGTTCAGTATGAACAAGTTCATATTCAGCCCAAAGATCAATAAAGCCTGAATAGTATTCTTGAATCTTTTTGTCCCCCCAGCAATAAGCAAAGATTTCAGATTCAATCTGGTATTGCCGTGACATATTGGACTGATAATACACCTTTTTCAAGTAGGCATACATCTCATAGGCAGTCCTTAGTCTTCTCATAGGAACACTAATGTGAGGTGCATTGGAGCTCAAAATCCATGAGACTAACTTTCTGTTGTCAAGCTTCCATTGTGTATAGGCTTTACTATCAGCCTCATCCTCATCAGGTGTACTTACAGTCCCATTCAAGTAACCTTCAAGTCCCTTTCCCTCAACATAGAAATCAAAATGGAACTTCTACATATTGTAATTAGTTCCATCAAATTTTACAGGGAGAAAATCTACTTTGTCAGCCATCAAGAATAAATAAAGGCAACCCAGGAAGAAAAGTAGTAGCACTGAAATTCGAAGTTCAGGGATGTTAACCACTTCACTTAATTCAATAGCAGTTTAAGTCAACAGTTCAATCAAGGTTGCAGCAAGCAGTTCAGACAAACAGCAATAAATCTGGTCTGGAAGAGAAATATAGTCAAATATCTTCAATACTGATTTGCCACCCTGTAGAGGAATCAAAATCCTCCAAGAAATTTATCCAGAACAACTCCAACTAGTTGTGTTGACAGTCCAACCTGATGGTTCCAGGACTGTTGAACTAAGGAGAGGACTGAATGCCCTCAGTACTGAACACAGCTCCTACCAAGTAGCCCTAGGACAGCACAAAGAAAACTAGGGTTGCAAGAGAGATTCACCAACCTGATGTGTGCAGTTAAAATCAGCCACCAATAGGATTCGGATAAGCAGATTGAAAGGGAATGAAGAGGTCTGTTGAAACCCTTCAATCTGAAGCACCAGTAGTCAAGAACAAAATGTTCGAAGTTTTGAGAAGGCCTGAGAATACAGCAGTCCAAGGGAAAACTGCTGCCGCCCTTCAGAGAAGACCAGAAGAAGAAGAAAACTGCTGCCGCCCTAGAGAGAAGACCAGAACTCCTCCAAAGCTTGACCAATCTCGAAGAAAGCTTCTGAGTTAGAGGAACAGACCAGGACAACACAATCAATCAGGTTTCTTTACAAATAGAGGCATTCCAAGAGAGTTCCAGGAAGACCTCTCTTGCAGAAATCTCAGAACAGAGAGCAAGGATTAGGGTTGATCAGAACAGCCCTATCTTCAGACAAAGCACCCAGATGCCAGCAGCCTTTGAGATATCAGAGAGAGAGCATAAAGCAAGAGCTGATTACAGAGCAGCCTGCTTTGATACCATGTCAACAGACCCAGAGCAGAATACAAAATTCTGGGATGAAGAATGGATGTTTCGACCCTACCCCAAGGGTCTTTTATATAGAAAGTGAAAGTTACAGAAATTACAAAGAGACCCTTCTAGGGCAATACAATAAGGACTACAATAAAATGGTACATCAGGGAGTTTCTTCACATATCATACATCTTGAGATAGTTGGAGTGACATCATCAAGGAACAAAGTGCTAAGAACAATTGTCATTCACTCAATTGATCACAGAAAACGAGCAAGTTCACATTATAGACCAATCTTGCCACAAGGAAACTAGTATTAGAGCTCAACTTTTACTTCTTAACTAATATTCCTAAAAAACTACAACTTTCCGTACATTTCTTTGTGGCCATGTACTTGACCGCATGTTCACTTTGAATTAATGCTGTCTTTCTCCATTCCTTGTTTTAATTCCAAGAAATATGCCTTACCTACATTTCTAATACCAAAACACCAACACTACAGTACATTCACTTCCTAATTAATGATTTCAAGGTTTACGAATTCGAAAAATGAGTTACTGATCTAGGTATGGAAATAATTTATGGGTATTTGTTTGGATATAGTTTGGATAATGGTACTATTCATGATCTTGGGTGTAGTATGGACATGGTTCCAATGTCTGTAACATACAGAAACAATCATATGATTTATAATATGATGCATGGCTTGATTGGATTCAAGTTTCTCTACAATTTATGATATGATTATGATTTTCACAACATTGCTTGATCAGAGAAGAGCAGCAGAAGTTCAATCCCCTGCCCCCCAAATAAGCCTCCCAAAAGTCCTTCAGCAGGAGCCCAAGTCCTCTATTTATAGAGGAAGCACTCCATGCTACCATGCACAGCTGAAACTGTTCTAGAACATTCTCTACTTTGTGAGCAAGTGGGAAACGCATCCCACTTTCCTCAGTAAAGGAAAAAGGTTGTCTGGGGGACCACTGTACCAATTGCAGACGTTCTTGGGAGTCATCCTGGTAGAGACATGTGTCCAGAGATACGAGGTCTATCCCACATGATTTCCCTGGTCTCCATGTTTCTGCTGCATGAAGGTCTTAATCAGGGGCTCACGCCATGCAGGTCTTCCAGGAACAAGACTGACTCCACTCTCTCACACCTAGTTATGGGCTTAATGATAGACTTGAACAAGACTTTAACCTATAAAGGGCAGCCAGTACACGAGACTCCTGTTAATGCGGGGTCTGGGGAGGACAGATGTACACAGTCTTACCCCTGCACATATAGAGATGCTATTTCCAAGACTTGAACCCTGGTCACCCAGATCGCAATGGAGCAACCCAACCGTTGCACCAAGGCCCACCCTCAAGACTTTTAACCAATTTATAGGCCTAAACAATGGCCCCTTTGGTTTCTCATTCAGGGCTGGTATGGGAATCTAAAATCAATAATAATCTAATATAAGGTATTATCTTCTTTTACCATAGTTTCAGTTCCGTAAAGAAATAAGAATTCTAGTAGAAAGATTATACAACCTTCTAGAAGAGACGTGCACGGTCTGACATCATTGTGGTCATATCATCATCATCATCATCATCTGAGCCATTTCCCCCCTCCCAATTATATATTGTCAATTAATCTTGTGTAAATTCTAGGGGTGATCATGGGCTTGGTCTTGAAGTTTTAGGTTCAAGACCAAACTGTCTTGTATGTGGGCTCAAGTAGGCCAGTATGAAAACATAGGTCTAGTCCTTAGGCCTGGAACTTATTGGCGGGGCTCGGAACAATTTCCCTTAGAAACTTGCATTTTCTAGTAATGTCTTTTGTTCCCTGTAAGCATGCTTAATGTTGTGGGCCTTGGATGATTTTATGATTACTTCGGATGAGAATAAGCATGAAAAAGGCGACTGGTGCACCTCTATTGGGCCCTATCTATAATCAGGAGGAGCCGCTTTGGATAAATATAGTTGACACAAGTGGTCACATTGATAAGTCTTATTGTTCATTCCTCTGGTGGAAGTCATGGTTTACAGGTGGAGATTCATTTTGTAGCTTAATCGCCATGCCTTGTCTTTTACATGCTACATTGGATTTTGATGATTTCATTTGTTTCGTTTGTATGAACAATAACTAGCAATATTTATTGAAGGTATTAAAATAAATCCCAATATTTTTATCAGTTTATATTGCTCTAGAGGTATATCACTCAGCAAGCATATATTGACATTGGTACCTGAATGGTCTCCACTTTTTCCAAGATGCATTATTGCATTAAATTATACTATATCTGACCATGTCTATATTTCTTGAGATCTATATTACACATATAGATATGAATGCCCTGTTTAATATGATGACAGAATTAACACCACAAATAGAGAAAAACGCTAATAGGGGGCTATTAACATGTGAGGGGATATACGATATGGAGGATGGAACATTAATTGCACAAATAAAAACATGATTCTGTATCTTGAAAGGCCAAAAGCATATATCAGTCAATAAACTAGTAGGGATCTTCTAAATTCTGTCCTCTTTACTAGTTTTAAGGGGGTCCAAAATTCCTGCAGTTTGCCTAGTTGATTACTAAATAATTAAAGTTCTGATGTCCTGCCTAATTTAATTAAACTGGTAGAATTGACAAATTATATGTAGTATAATTTGTTGTAATATATAGACAATACACCTTGTAAATGTCCAAGTGGTATTCCAAGTAATATATCAGATAACTATCATGTCCAAACAACTGCATAAATCATGTAAAGCATGTAAATTATCAGCTTGAAACTTGATCATATGAGGGACACAATTAATTGATCTTTATATTATTGATCTGGTTAGGAGTATTAGAAGTTATGTTGGAATGTCCTTGTGTAGGCAGAAAGGTATTTTTGCCCTTGCTTACATATACACAGCTCGACTGCTCAAGTAGTGACTGGTATTTTATATTGTAATTGGTTGGCAACCAGCATATGGAAACTGATTTTTTTTCTCTGCACCAATTTCTTTCTATTCCTTTTCTCCTTTTCTATTTTATGTTCTTTCTCTTTATCAAATCAGTGGTTCAGTTAATTTATTACAAATATGATGTATTTTTGATATTGAAATTTTAGTGGTCCTTAGTTTGTGTTTTTGAGCAATGCGTCCAGATGTTATAAAATTTGGTTGGAATTTATGTACTTGGAAGTCTGAATATAGTGAGACAATTGGTGTTAATGAACACCTATTTCTTATGAAATTCATTACATTCAGCATATAGACAAAAACTTATCGGAGTATCTCATTGACTTCATCTATATGATGCAGGGATCGTGATGGGAAAGTTACTCCAGAGGAGGTGGCTGCTGCAGCTTTATACCTCAAGGACACGTTAGGCAAGGATGGAATTGAAGAGCTTATAAACAACCTATCAAAAGATAGAGGTTGGTCACTTAATATTCTTTCCTGCAGTAATCTGATTCCTTTTCTTGTTCCCTGAATGTATGTCTTTTTACAACCAAGAGATCTCTTGAGCCAAGTCAAATTATCTAATTTGTTGCATTTTCTTAAAATGTTGATAAATAGAAGGTAAGCAGATAAAAATAATTCAAGGCTAAGCTTTCGTAAGAATTTTATGTTATGAGATCTCTTATGTAGACCATGAATGATGGGTTCTTCATCATGAGCTCAAATGTGGTACTGCACTAGGACTGATGGATTTGCTCATTTCACATTCTTGTTTTCTTTGCTTATTGAATTCAACCAATACTTATTACCTCGTGAAGTATGTAACCTAAAATTTCTCTCACAACAGAAGGAATGATTCTCGTTGAAGACATTGTCAAATTAGGCAGTCGTGCAGAAGATGCCAATACAACAGAAGCAGGAAGAACTTAGATATTAAAATATTCAAAATTGTATATGCTTTATTTTTGAGTTTTGACTCATTATGTTAAGAGGCAGAATTGCATGATGTTCTAGAGTGTCTACATTTTACCTGGACGCTTCGGATGCTTTGTATCAATGAATAGTCTTCGAGGTGTTATGGCAGCATACCTGGGATTTATTACTCAGCTCAGATGCTGTGCAATCAGGTCACGTGAGAAACATTAATGATTCTTTGCTGCAGTTGATGAAAAGGAAGCTTTTGTTTCTGCTGTAAATTTATTGCATGGGAAAAGAATAAACATACATAAATGACAATGCCACAAGTTCTAATATTGCTTTTGAAGTTTTGATATTTGACGGTGGAAATGAAATAATGGATATGATTTTAGAAGTTCTATTTTTCTTTTTTTCTTTTCTTTTTCTTATGGACATAACATAATACGATTTTAAAGTTGATCATCCTTTATCATAAGGTGAAAAATGGTTTTTGGAACTTAATTTTTGCTACCATCAGCAATTCAAAAAACAAATGCTACTTGGTACAATTTCTGGACACAAAAGGATGATGGCTACTGCAAGAAATATGGCAGGAATAAATGCTATGATAAGTTCCAGTTTTAAACCGTGGGTGGATTTTATGAAGCTTTTCGTTTCGGGTAGTTTATATATCATGTCTTGTAAGATCAATACCCATATCTTATTTTTTTCTTTTTTAGTTTGATAATTTACAAATATGTTATTATTATTATTATTATTATTAAAAATCCCAAACTCCATGTATTTTATGTATCGGTGACCCTGAAAACTGACTGATACGTATCATATGATATGGTTTGATATGTATAGATACCATATTCTGTTATAAGCAGCCTCTTGATTGATTCAATTCAAACTTGTGATGCGACGTGGGTTTTTATTTGAATTGTTACATATTCGACAAATACAGCCAAATGGTCTCACTATGATGATATTTATTTAAAAAACTTGCGATCAATCAACTGATGTCTTAAAACTGATGTCTTAAATTGATATTTATCGAAATTCTCATTTTTTTGGGGAGAATGAGGTTCAGACCAGGGTCAGAATTTGTAAGTCCAAATTACTATTCGGGTAGGTGTCAGTTCAGAATTGAAGCTAATTCATGGGTAGGGTTGGTGCATAGAGTGTGGATTATTAACATTTTAAATATTTATAGCTCTGCAATGGAAATCAGAAATCTGCATTGAACTTATCTGTACTTTTTCGTTTTTTTTTTTTCTTTTATTTTGATTTGTCAAAGTTCTTCTAGTTAATCATATATTAATTATGGCATTTTTTTCACTTTCAAATCAAGCCCATTAATTATAATATTAATTCATTTATTTCTGTTTATTGCCTTATTAAATATGGTCTACAAAATTTCATCTCGCTTTTAGCATGAATTGAAATAGGGTCCTTTTAGATTAGAGGTACCAAGGATTATAATATCCATATTCCGTATACTCAAATATGGGTATATGGGTATTGATGTGCATCGATATGATCGATCCTCACCTTTTATTTTTTCTTTATCTTTTTTATTTTGTAATAATCAGGGGTTGGGGAATAGGGCTAAGATGCTTTAAATGTTCAAAAAAATCTGCATTGGTGTATTCAAACATATTTGAGTACACCAATACCAATGTTTTAGAAATTGACTAGGAATTAGAACCATTTTGGCAACTAGTTTTTGGGTCAGTGGTTCAATTGTCCAATTTGAATGGATCAGCTTGTGACAATTTTAAAAGTAAAAAATAAAAAATATATATAATTAAAATAAAAATGCCCAAAAATCATTGTCCAGGTCGAATGCTTTGGCCACCCGAGTCAATGGGCTGCTGACCAACTCAATGGATTTTGGGCAAAAAGCAGTTTGGGGTAAATATAGAACCGGTCTCCTAACTAGTTTCCAAGGCAAATGGTTCTACTATCCAAGTCAATGATGGTTCGAAAACCATGACCAAAACTGATACAATACACCTAGTATCAGGCATATTGTATTGATATTTTAATCCTTGGGCATAAGTGCATAACCAAATACCACTATGCCATCCTCTGATGCTATGTAAATACTTTAAAAATTTGTGGACATATTCAAATAAATAGTATCATATATGTAGGGGTGAGCAAATGGGTAGGTTCTACCCATAACTGAATGGAATCAATCTTGAACTAGCCTTGAATTGATTCTACTCTACCCAATTTGCTAATAAATAGGGTTTGGTTCCAAATTCTTGGAATTAATCCTCACTCGGGTGAATTCTAGGGAGGGGGTTTACCCTACCGAACTGACCTAGATAACTAGCATTAGTTGGCCTGGGTGGCACTAACCTTAGTTGACCTTGGTGGAACCAATCTTGGAATTGGACTTTCTTTAAAATAATTCCCCCCAAAAAAGGGTAGGTTCTACCCATAACCGAATGGAACCAATCTTGAACTAGCCTTGAACCAATTCTATTGAATCTGCTAATAAAAAGGGTTTGGTTCCAAATTCCTGGAATTAATCATCACTCAAGCCAATTCCAGGGAGGGGGTTTACCCTACCCGAACTGACCTAGATAACCTACAACTTGGGTGGCACTAGCCTTGGTTGAACTTGGTGGAACCAGGTTCGGAACTGGACTTTCTCTAAAATAATTCCCAAAATACTATAACAATGTGAAGATTTGAGCATAAGCAGTCATGGTTGTAAAGATCATGGTCTCACTTAACCATTGATCCACTTAAGAGAAAAAAATTCTTTAATTTAATATTTAAATGTCTATAATAAGTAATGTGAAAAGTAATATTTACAAAAATTAAATTATAATTTTGGCTGCAACTATTTTACCAACAAAAGGCAAAGATGGATTTGAAACCAGGTCCTCAAACTCTGCCATTCCATCCTTTTGTTACAAGTGAAGGCTTGGAACCTCCGCCATGGACCAAAAAAATTTGAAAACCTTGAATTAACATATTTGCGAGCTGTAATGCAATTTTGCTCTACTAAGTTCAAACCACCACAAAATCTGTCACTAAACATCAACTCACTGGAAACCCTTTTAAGGATCATATCATGCTGATTGTAAATAACCCCGGAAAATGACTTCATAGATGAGCACCAACAAAGGCAATATTGAGTTTTTCTAAAAGTTTATCCGTATGTGAGGTCACATGCAACCGGATTGTAACAGATTCCAAACAGAAGAGAGGTTTTTATCCAATGACATCATTTAAAAGGGAGGTAGTAGTTCATTTTAGAAAGAGAGGGTAGGCCTTAGTATTAAACATAAAAATCAGGGGAGGCTCAAGTTTTTTATCCTAATAAAAATGAACAAAAGTGGTTCATGTCAGATTATAGATTGTATCATCTCAGAATAGAAACTTGATTTAATGTTGTTGAATCAGATGGATACTTTTAATGAAATTTTATAGGAAAATATTTGTGGTGTTTGGCGGGCCATTGGATTGAGATTAGGCCAGTTTAATAATAAATTTAGGGTCGTTCTTTTTTTTTAATAGGATTTTGGTTTCAATTGACTAAGATACTTATGTTATTTTCTTAGATCTATGTGGAATAATTAACTTTAGCACATTGGGAGAAACTTGTCAACACTTGGATAGAACAAAATTACCCTTTTAATGTAATGACTTTTTATAGCTAAAACAGTCATTTTCTTATTTACTTAAGAAATAGAAGAACATAAATAAAAGCACTTACCTAAATAGATATTTCTCAAAAAATACTTATCCAAATAAATGTATTTATCGGAATAAATAACTTCCAAAAAGTGAACCAAGACATTGGAGAGTTTGGATTTAAGATTCAGTATCATTTAGTATTCGATCATTTTAGGACTGCTGGTGTAATACGGTATTTGAAGTATAGATAGGGGAATTTGGTGGATTTTAAATCAAATCTTGGGTTCTGTGAATTTTGACGCGTTCTTTTAGTTTTCAGGATTTTTTAAGGATGAAAAAGGTAAATCCAACAAAAATTGAGTACTGACAGTAGTAACATTTGTTTTAATAACCAATAACCATGATCATAAGAGAAAGAATACTTTTAAACCTTAGTATGACCAAATAATTAAGAGGCCATATCTTACTGCTAGATGTGATAAACCGTAACAGTGGTCTTATGTCCAATTTTCTTCTTTGTTAATCTACATATTAATTTTTGTGCGTGTAGACTTTACAAATATTAAGAGGGCAAATGGCAGTTTCACCTCAACATGACTAATACCTTGTGGCTTTTTCCTAAGGGTGTCATCAAAATCAATTTGGACGGATTGGAGGACTAACAAGATATATTGGATTGGACTAATCCGGTTCAACATATTTATTAGATTGGATTGGGCCTGGTCTATTCATAATAAATTTATATTAAATTCGATTGGATTAAGTCAATATCCGGTCCATTGATATAAGATAAGAATATAGGTGTCAATGGACTGGGTTTGGGTTGTAATCAATCTAAATTAAAATGAATTTGAACAGATAGGATGGTCCAGACAGAATTGGACCGGTCCAAGATGGTCCAAAATATTCTTTGGATTGGATTGAACCTGATCCATTTGTAATGGACTCACATTGGGCTGGATCGGATTGGACCACATCCAGTCCAATTGACACCCCTACTTTTTCCCCCTCTTCTTGTCACTTTCACCTGAACATGTGAATATATACTTTCCATTCATCACTAATACCGTGTGCCACTTAATTTTACATCTATTCCATCCCTGTAGATGCATAAAGATCAAAATTCTGAGTTCAATGACATTAAGATCGCCCAATTCCAACATCATCAACATCTCAATCTTGAGACCCAAAGTTAGAGACTTGATCCAGACCCTCTGTTTAGAATCTTCTTCACTACAACTTTGAACTTAGGGACCCATACAACCAGATCTTATTCTCAACCTCTAAAACCATCTTTAAATTTAAATTTAACCAGTTAAGGAGTCTCTCCAATCAATCAAATCAATCACTTAAAGTTGGAATATTCAATTTAGGCAAATTTCTAAGGCATACCATGTATTGTCTTAATTGATTGAGAAGATTTCTCACAAAGCTATCATACCAGCCCTTTCTCACATTTGATTTCCATCCAAAAACATTTTAAACTTTAACCATTCATTTCCCCATACTCAAATCTCAACCATCCATTCCTTTCTAAAATCCTCCCCAAAACTCTATAAATATCCATCATTTCTCACACAAAACATACATTTCTGGCCTAAGAAGAAAGCTCTACACCTATTAGCCTAGACATTACCCCCTTTACGTTCAAAGCAACTCCAGCCTTCTCTTACCCACACCCAACCTCATAAAAATACTTCTACCATGTCCAAATATTCACCAAAGCCATCT